AAATAGAATTTAAATACTAAATCTGTTATTTAAGAGTTAATAAGTTATTAACTACTTTAAGATATTATGCTTTAAAAATTTTTTTATATTAATGTTTAGATAATATGCTTATATTTTTATATATTAAATTGTTTTTTTAAAAGTTTAAAATATATTTGCTAAATTAGTTATATATTTGTTTTTGCTTTTTTTTAAAAATAAAAATTAACAGAAAAAGTTTTTTTACTTTTACTAAGACTGATATTAATAATAACTATTGTCTTTATTGTATTTTTAATTATATATTATATATAATTTGTACAAGAATAAATGTATAACTAGCTATTCATACAACTTTGGTTGTCTATTTAAGTAGTCTATTTGAAGGTTTTACATTAGTTGTCATATCTGTAATCTACTAAAAAATTATCTATTTAAATACATCTAAGTGCTATCTAACTTAATATATAGTCTTTTCTTTTAGTATATCTGTTAAGCTATTTATCTGTTTTAAAGCATATCATCTAACTATAAGGCTTAGAATATCTCTTTGTTAACTAACTACTCATATTTAATTCTTGTTAACAGGCTAGTCTTAATAAAGTTTATCTGTATTCTAGTATCTACTTCATAATATATTTCTAATATTTTTAATATATCTTTGCTTTGTTTTCAGACTTTTAATTCAAATAGCTTGAAAAAATTGTAATCTGTTTCTGATATATTGAGTCTGGTCTAATATTCTTTTTTTAAAATTTAATCTAGTAGCTTAGTTAGTAGTATCTCTTATCTAAATATTCTTGCTTGCTCAGTTTTTTACATTAGTATCTGTTTTCTAGATCTATCTTTTACAGTAGTACTATTAAAAATCTGTATTATTTCTTTACTTAGATTTTTCTAAATAGGCTTTAGTTTTTTCCAGTTTTATAGATTTATATATCTATAAGAACTTATTTTAAATTTGTACTGTTTAGTATTAGTTTGCATCTTTTTATATAACCAAAATTATATAGATATTTAAGATTTGTCAATTATACTAATATAACTATAGTTACAGGTATCTTATTCTAACTAATTAACAGAATGCTGTTGTTATAATATTGTCTATATATTATATAGATGATTATTCAAATTTATACTATCAATAGGTTTTGAACTTACAACCTATTACTTAGGAAGTTAACAACTTATTTACTAAGTTATCACACCTTAATTATATATTTTATTAATTTTTTTACTTAAAAATTAAAATAATTTATTTAATAATTTTTTTAAAAAATTTAAATATAAAAAATTATAATTAAATTTATATATAATTTAGAAATATTGTATTCTTACTTTAATATTACATTATAAATAAAATTAAATAAAATATTTAAAAAATTTAATAATAATAAATTTAAGTTCAAAAGTAATTAATATAAAACAATTATTGTAATACTTAATAAATACAATATTATCTTATTAATTTTAAACATCTTAATATAAACAATATGACAAAATTCTTAAACCTACTTTTTGCTATATAATAAAAAATAATAATTCTTTTGAATATCAAAACCTATCTATTATTTTAACTAAATATAAAAAAAAACATGTTAATTATTGCATTAATATACAATATCTTAAATTTGGTTTAATCTAATCTGATATTAACTATTGCGCTATAAAAATAATATGAAATAACAAAAAAGTACATCTATTTGATAATAATAAACTAGATCAAAATTAGTAAAAACACTTTATAAAAAACTTATACTAAACTTTTATTTTGTGTTTCTTAAGAGTTATTAGAAGCTTAAGTATAAAAGCAAATTCAGTTGTTGTTAAAAATTATTTTGATAAGTTTTTAAAAAATAATTAAAAAATATTATTTACTGTTATGAAAATTTAAAACATAAATAAAATTGTGTTTGTTTTTGTATCTAAGTTAAAAAAATTATTATAAAACAAAAAGTATATGTTAAATTTATAAGTTGTATATAAAAATGTATATAAACATATTTTTGGCACTTTCATAATTTTTGGTTGCTAAATTATATATTTCATCTTTAATTATTTACAAGTATGTTTATGTAATTTATAAGTTGAGGTTTACAAGTATAAAGTATATGTGCAAAGATCTTTTTCAAATGAATTTTACTCATTTTAACAATTCAATCTTATCACCTATTTACTTTTGCTAATATTTAATAAACAATTAAAAGAAAAAACCATTCTAATAACAGAACCTAAAACAATAAAAAGTAACGGGTTGGAAGCATGAGATTGAGAAGCACGTTTCTAAAAACGACCAAAAGGCATGCACCTATCATGTGATTTAGAACTATCATATTATTGGCCAATTTAGTAATTAACCAATCAGAATTAAATCCTATTATTGCTAATTACGATAATATATATATCTATAGGAGCATGCCCTTTGCAAAGGCATGCCTCAAAAATTTGCTGTACCCAAACCCTAATGATGAGTGGTAATTGAGGGTACTCGTGTACTCGTGTAGATCTTATTTTCAAATGACCGGATATTTAGATGCTGAATGTAAATGATGACACATGATGAGCTCATTTTTTTTGTTCCTATTTTTTTTTCAGAAGGACTCTATGAAGAAATCTAACTACGTGATGAGATTGAGGCATTGTTCAGGTCGAAAGGGTCTAGGATGGAGATTAAACCTGGGAATCATTTGATTTATTCTAATCGCGATAAGGATATTTTTTGCGTGAAACATCTTGACTTAATTGATGTTGAAAAGCTGTATTCCGTGATTATAAGATATTATCCTAACAGACGAGATTTCATTATTTCTCCTAGTGGATTTTACGACAATGCATATATTATATAGCCACGAAGAACATGAATATCATGTGTACTTTGAAAGAGATTATTAAAATATTTCGAGGAAGACAACGATATCATTAATGTAAAATCCGATCCAATTATCGATATGTCTTTGTTAGTGATCAAATGTTTAATTGATTAAAATAAATGTAGATTCGTTTATTCATCAAAAATTACAAAATTGATAAATTACAGATTAATTTTTTTTTAATGACCATATTATGATCAAAATATTACGTGATGTTAAAACTCTTTGATCATTTCCTCGAATCTGTTGCAGTACATACAGATAAGATTGATTTGTTTACAGAAACATAAAAATTGCAATATTCATGGAACTTCAGATTGATAACGAATCATGATTTGAGAATATTTAACGTTAAAGGATTGGAACTGTTTAATCACATAAAAATTGGTTCGTAGTGCTGGGTAGAATTATGCTTATTGTGGGCCAGAATGATCTTAATGCCGGCTGAATTAAACAGTTAATGATTGAGAAATTTTAGATGCTAGAATATTTCTTTTTTTTATTTGAGAAAACGTCTTGATATGTTTCAAGATACCATATTATAATATATTTTGAATCATTTAAGTTTTTCAAATGCATTGAGTTCGAACATTAATTTTATATTATTTTTAGGATTTCGCGTAGGCTGGATTATCCATAAATTGGTCCAATATTTAAAATAATAGATATCATCATTTCCTTATCATATGACGAACCCGAGCTTAATTTAAAAATAAGCCATTTACAATTTGTGCTCTTTGAATCCATGGATTGTATTATGTGGTCATAGCATAGCTTGGATCTATCTAATTAACCCTAATTATTGTTGCCAACATTCTGAGCCAAGTTTTATCAATCACTTGGCTTAGATTAATCGACATCGGCCCGCATTAAGCAGATTTCGAAGTTAAGTTATTTTAGTTTAGAGTGGATCTGGGTGAAACTATATTTTTTTATTAGAGCACACAAAAAGTAGTTTCATATGCAAAATTTAAAATATAAAATTTTTTTTTTCTAATTTTGTCAACAAAACCTTGTAATGTTTTACAGTAAGCCAACTAAAGCAGCCGCGGCTAAACCAGCTTAGCTGGCTACCCATGTGGCTTAATATACTATATTAGAGAGCTGTTCAAAACGATGTCTGAATCTAATGTTGAAAGAAGGTTTGAAGTATTTTTTTCATGAATATATAAAATTATATGATTGAGATTTTCTTTTGAGGGTTCATATGAACTTGATGTTTCATGATTTTTTTCATATTCAAGTTTGATATCGCGTTTTTTCATATTCGAGTTTGATACCGCGTTTTTTATATTCGAGTTCGATATCGCGTTTTTTATATTCGAGTTTTATATCACGTTCTTTCATATTCGAGTTTGATATCATGTTCGTGCATTGAAATCATCATTGTAAAATTCTAGTTTATGATGGAAATTGACCAGATTGTTTTTGATATTTAATTCGTAATTTCATTTATAATCGGAATCTATAAAAAATTCTTGGAATCAAAAAAATGGCCTGATTTCCCATAATTTTTACATGACATCATGATCTACAAAGTTCACACTTTTTTTTGCAACAGGATGTTGATATTTGATGAATCTGACCTGCCTCATATCTATGGATACTTGAAAGAGAAAAACGCCACATATTTTCAAGATTGAAAGTCATTTAACTATGTAGGAATTGGAACCGTTTAAAATTTTATTAGTTGTATGGTAAATTGTCATCTTGTGTGATGTCTAGTAGACATGTTATGTATTAATCGACATGCCCTAAATTAAAGAAAATAACATTGGATTTAGGATCACTTTAGGTTATGTTTAGATAGTTATATGCTATTTATATATATACGTATAAGTAAAATTAACATCTCGACAATTTTATTAATGTTCCAAAGTATACATGTAACCGAATTTATTTCGGCTTATTCGACACAAGCCTAAATATGGTTATAGCATATTGATCGGGCTGAGGATTTTTATTTATTTATTATAAATCCGTCATATATAACGTTATATAGTATAATAATAATAATAATTTAAAATTTTCCGCTATAGCAAGGAATACGCTATAAAAAATTCGTTATAACAAAGGTAGAATGTAATTATTTTATATATATATATTATCGGGCTAATCAAAAAAAGAAAATTTTTTTCCCAATTTGATTGACTAACGATTTGCTTGCTTTAAGGGTCTCTCTCCTAAACCAGGGCTTTGAACAAAAACCAAAGCTACCAAATTAAGAAACAATAAACCCGTTTTTGAACTCTCGGCCCTTTATTTTGAATAAAAAGCTTGAACTAAAATTCAAATTAGAAATATTAGAAATTCAAATTAGAAATTCGAATTAGAAATTCGAATTAGAAATTCGAATTAGAATTAGTATACGTAACAAATAAATAAATAAATTAATTAAATAATTAATTAATTATTGACGTTAACAGTTTTGAGAATTGGTCTACTGTAAAAGGACAATTAATAATATCCCTAATTAAATTTAAATGTACGTATTGGTTTTTTTTTCTTTTTTTACTAATTTGATCAGTCAAGTAATTATTCAAATAAGCAAATAAGTATACCAGATTTTATCATGAATAAGCACATACGTATACACCTCCTTTTTTCAGATTTTACAGGAGAAATTTTCAAATTTTCAAGATCCCTTGATTGGAATAGGATTATTTGGTACGTCGTGTATGTATGTATGGTGTGTATGGTGTGTATGTACTGTATGTATGTATGTATGTATGTATGTATGTACAACTCGAATTACCATACTATTACTGAAAATCAATAGGAAATACCAATCATTAAAATTGGCTGAAAACTTCTCCTTCAAATTTGAAAGATGGAGTGATAGAATATGGTAAGTATGCAGGATATAACGGGCGATAATAGAATACCGAATTTAAATCTAAGACATTTATTAGTATAAAAGATAGGATGTGCAAATGCATAAAATAAAAGTTGCAGGTTATAAAAGTATCACAGAGGGCGATAAATTCAGGAGAATTAGGTATTTATAATATTGTTTGTTTTTTTTTTCAATAGTATAACATTAATGCATTACTCATAACAATGACGTACGTACGTACATACATACTTATACATACTCGTAGCGATTCCTACAAGAATATTCGAATTAATTAATGAAGGATCAATAGTATATCGATATAGATTTCTGAACAATCTTTTATCTATTTAAGGTCAAGACAAGGGTCAAGACAAGATAAGGAAATTAAACGAAACATTTAATACAGAATCCTTATTAGCGATCTCACTAAACATATATATTAACAGGAAAGAAATGTAATGTAACAGATAAAGTTTTAAAGTTGACCGAATCGATGAATAATTTTTTTTAAAAAAAAAATTCCACGCGAGACACGAGTTAATAACGCAGACAAAATACAAAGATTTAGTCATAAAAAAGCAACACTTAAATTGTTTAGGAAATTGTTTTTTTTTTTTTTTATGTAACAATAGATTTGATACATATGTATGCATGTACCTTAGAATAATTGAATTTCGCCAAAATTCTTATGCACCAAATAAAAAAAAAGCCGAATTACCGATGCAAATTTTAAGTGGTCAAGGCTGTAATATGTGCATTTTGTGTTTATTACCTATCACTATGTTTGATATTGACACGTATGTGATACGTAACAATAAATTTATTTTATTAACAAAATTAAGATTCATTAGAATAAATAAAATATTACGTGTGACGAATAATATTTCATAATTTAAATATCGTACGTATACGTAATGTAAACGGATTTTCATATTCTTAATGTTAATAAAACGAGTCTAGTACTAGTTCTTTTTAACCTAGTTTGTAACCTAGATAATCCAGGGGTAAGACCAAATAAAAATGAATAACAAGAGTAATGTTAAAAAGCTAACGTTAAAAGAATGAAAATCTTTATCGTTATCGTTATACTTCTTACAAAAGCCACTCCCTGAGGTACCATTGAAAATCATCTTTTAATTATTTTTAATGAGATTGAAAGAGAAGATCTTCTACGATCTTTTTTTTTGAAACTCTGATTTTCAAAACAACGACTCGGGGCTTTTATTTTGTAAAACCATTTGTTTGGAATACATTTGTATTTGTAAATATAAGATATGCATTTATATATGATGCAAAAACATTATAAAAAAAACAAGATTATAAATTAATTAATTAAATAATTAAATATGTAGTGATAGGTAAAAAATTTCTAATAAGATAATATAGATAATATAGATAATTAATTAATAGTTTTTGATAAGGGCTAAGGTATCTAACTGATTAATAGATCCGAGTAATCAAATATTTAAACAGTCAAGAAGGCAATCAAGAAGGATTTCAAGCGCATACAACTTTCCTACATGATATTTTAGATGGAGGGATCTTTTTAATCAGTACGATACCGATTAACAAGCTATTCTGACCTATGTAATGAATAATATCACCTGAGGTATTTACGCCTTCCAAATAGTTTAGGTAACAAATATATGTATTTTATTTTTTAAATTTTATTTATTTTATTTTTAAAATTAGTTTATTTTTAAAATTAAAATTTATTTTATTTTTTACGTAAAAATTTCATCGCCTTGGTGTCTTTAGCATAATGTACACAATAATATGTAATAATTATATATTAAAATATACTATAGCTATATGACTATTAAATACAAAGAAACTAACCAAAATTTATTACTTATAAATTGTATAAGAAAAGAAATCTAATAAAAAAAAATTACATTTTGCTTGTTTTACACATTTAAATTTCTTTATATAAAATTTTTTGAAATAAAAATGAGATTTTTTTTTTTTTTGACAAAAAAAAAATTGTTAAATGAAAAAAAAATGAAAAAAAATTATTATAAAAAAATTAAATGAACATGATTGATCCGGTAACAATAACAATTGATGAAAATATTGCCAAAACATTAATGACATATCGTGTCTCTGTTGCTGATGGTTTGGCTAAACTACCAGGACCTGATGTACCTGATGAACCTGATGTACCTGATGGTGATGATGTTGATGCAGGATTAGGTAAAACAACATTTTCTACATAGGCTGGCGCATTTGGAACACAGTTTGCAATTTGTAAGGCGGTAAAGCCATTGGCCTTTACAATATCCATAGCAGCTGGTGCTTTAGATGCTGAAGTGTTATATAAATCATGTTCGAGAGATATGACTCCAGTAGTTGCTGTCTTATTGGTAGCCCATAAAGTGAAATTACCAGGAATCCAGTTTAAGTCATATTTTGGGTCAGAAAATGATTTCCAATCAAAGGTATCATGATTCCAAAGAGCAACTTTATAACCTAATTGTTGCACAATTCCTCTAACTCTATCATCGATATCGCCTGTTGGAGGACGCATATATAACGGTGTCAAATTCACGGCCTTTTGAATAGCTAATTCTGTCCATTTCATTTCCGCAATAATTTGTTCATCAGTTTGTGTAGTTAATGGAGTATGCGACCATGTATGTACACCAATTTGATGACCTTCATTAAAAAAAATTGTTTTTTTTTTTTTTTAGATTCTATAATTATTTAAAAAGTGAATTTTAAAGAATGAATTTTTAATAAATATACCTTCTTTTACGATTCGTGCTAGAATGTCGGGATTTTGAAAAACACGAGAACCAATAACGAAAAATGTGGCCTTTTGATTTCTTTGTGCTAGAGCATCTAGAACTCCTGGTGTATTTTCCCTTTAAATTTCGATAAAATTTTGACAAAGTTAGAATGTATAAAAAAGATCTTTGACATTAATCATGTGAATCTTTCTCTAATTAAAATACTTACGAAGGGCCATCATCATATGTTAAACCCCAATCTTTTTGAAAAAAATAGAATTAATAAATTAATAAATTGATTTATTTTTTTCAAATTGATTTATTTATTCAGATAGTTTTTTTTTTTTTTTTTACCTTTGAGTTTCGGACAGTAAGCTATGTCAGTTTCTGGTCTGGTACAACTTGTGCAAATGAAAGAACAATAAGTGTCAGGGCCTGGAGCACATTGGTATCCACCTGGATTAGGTGGGACTTTGGGATATTTCGATTTATCAACCAAAGCACTCCAAGCAGGAACTATTGGCGGTGGTAAATCAGGTGGAGGAAAAGTTTGTGGGAAGCTTGAGTTCAACCCTGTTGAATTTGCTAAAGCGGCATCGGTAGTTGTAATAGATACGACTAACGTAATCAATGTAATGTATATTTTAAAGATATTTTTATTATACATAGTTCTTAATTGGATTAAATTTTTTTTTTTTTTTTCAATGTTCAATATTAAAATGGGTCTCTTGTCAAAAGATTAACGTTTTTTGAAAAATTTTTTATATTCTCAAAGAAAAAAAATAAAAAAATTACATATATTTAAACTAGTTCAAATTGAAAAAAATTTCAACCAGAGGCGAAAGGAGTCGATAGGGAGAAGGTCTTTTTATAGTGATTCACCGAAACTAATCTTAAATTATATATCACTCTAAAAATAAATATAAAATTTATTATATATAGTTATTATATTTATACATATATTTATGTCGATATACATATATATAATATATATAATATATATATATATTTATTTATTTATTTATTTAATATATGTACACTATACACATATCCATTATTAAGTGCGTTTTTTTACGTCTAACGCTAGTTACATGTAGATTACTGAACTGGTACTTGAATATCGTACTTACACTTATAATACTTGTAACAAACTTACTATTTTTAAATAAAAATAAATAGATTTACCAGTATACAGGTATATAGTGTAAATATATGAACAAATTTGGATTCGTGATACTAAAAATATTTTTAACATTTAAATGTTTCGAAAAGTTTTTATGAAACGATATATAAAAACAGTTAGTCCAAGATCTGTATGCAATCGAGTGCTACATACATACATACACACACATATACATATACATACATACACACATACATACATACATACTCATTCACGTAGCCAGTAGTCAATGGACTTTCTAGGTTTTCTGCTCTAAAAACATCTGGGCGTTAACTGAATCAATGCTCGTTTGTAAATGCTAATCATTTATGCAGACTGTTTATTGGATCACAAAATTCCGATATACGGTAATTCTGAGAATATAAATATAAAATTCCGGGAATATAAATGTCCGATCAAAATTTAATTCTGAAAACATAAATGTTATGCTGAAAATATAAATACTGTATTTTCTCATCATACTTCTTATCATACTTCTCATCGTACTTCTCATCATACTTCTTATCATACTTCAATCATTATACTTTTCGTTATACCTTTTTTTAAAAAAAAATTTCTTGCCAATAACATTGTCTAACATTATCGTGAGATTTTACTTTTCAGTATTGTTTTTAATACATTGCTCAATTTACACAATATTGTTATAAATAAATACATATTGCAAAGTATAATTTAGTTTTCGACCGCATATCGAAAATCGATATTATTTATTGATGTCGATATATTTCTTTAAACATATAAATCTGTTATTTACTACTCAGATTTTGTAGAACAATAAATTGTATGATGCGGAACGGGTACATCACGTGCCATATCTTGGATATCGATGTCAAAAATTGATTTATGTAAATCACAATGATTATGATCATCTTTTGTTAATACATATATTTTTTACACTCTTTTTTTGGGTTAATTCATTTATTTATCTCTTCAAATTGGTAATACTAAAGAAAGTCTTCTTTATAATTTCGGTTTAGATTCAATTTAAAAGTAACTGTATATATATGTTGTGCCCAGTTGATAATTTGTCTCAGATGTCAATCTGACCAAAAAATAATTAATTTAGGCCCAGACGTTAAGGGTTAAATTTGGCCAATTGACAATCTAGCCAAATCTAGTCATTTGGAGCACAAACATATATATACAAACATGTACGTATTTAAATGTTTGCATTTTTACTCTTTTGACAAAAAATATATTTAATGCAATTATTGTTTAGCAAAATGTTCTTGAAAAAGTTTACATAAGAGTTTACATAAGAACGTGGTTAAAACCAGATTATTAGCTTCTTAGAATCATCTCACGTTCTAATACGTACAAAATTTATACAAATATATTAAGGTTATTATTATTATCATTATATATATTTGCTACACCATGCCCGGTTAGTACCGTAACCAGAACTGCCGCATGGTCACAATCAAATACGTATGAAATTTCAATGCACATTAAACAAATTAGTTTATATTGAAATTTTCCGTTTATAGGTTAAAATTTTTTTTTTTTAAACCAATCTAATGAAATTATTTACTGTTTAAATTCATCACGTTCAGTAAACGATATATCATTTAAACCAACTTCCAAATTAAGAAGTTTTGTGTATTAAAAAAAAAAAATCTACCACTACGTACATATGTACCTAGCTATCAATCACTGATCATGTATCAGGTATGTAAAAAAAATAAAATTTTATCACCTTAAACTATACTTCAAAAAAAAAATTTTATATATTATTTACGAATCCTCATTTGAATTTGTGAGTTTGTTATTCAGGTAGATTAAAAAAAATAAAAATAAAAATCTCTGACGCAATTTGTTTGTCATTTAATATGTTAAGCGTGAAAATACGTCAAATATTTATATTATTATTGGTGATTTTCTTTATTGTAATAATCATTATTATGTAAATTACTAGAATAATTATTTGAAATTACTACATAGCGGTAGTAATTACTATAATTATCACCATATTTATCCGACTTTTTATATGATAGTGGCATGAGATTACATAATAATTTGTGCAAAATATCACGGAAAAAACCTCACATGGTCATATAAAACGCCGGATAACATTATTATTGGGCATATACGATACATAACATACATAATAGAATTTTTTTTTTCAATACATAATATTTCGTATTAAATTATTCATTTACGTATTAATTTGTTAGATTATAGGTTTAAAAAAATTTTTCGTTCGAATTGATCGACCAGCCTTGCCTCATATCCATGTAAATTAAATTTATTTTGGGTATACTTCTTTAAATGGTTTAGATGTAATAATTAATATACATATAATTTATAATTTAATACGTATACATATAATTTTATACGTATACGTAATTTATCTATATTTAAGAATTATTAATACTGCACATCACGTTGAGTACTCGGTTAACAAAAACTACATGTGATATCAATTTAGTATTTACATAATATTTACATATAAAACGTATATACCTTAAGGGACTTTTTTTATGCTTAAAAATTATTCTTGGCGTTCCATTCAGTAAATGCCATGTCAATAAATGGCGTGCTAGGAGTGCATTGAAAAATTTGACACAATTAAAGTTTCTTGGCATTCTATAAATAATAGATTTTTAAAAAATTATCATACCGTCATGTTGTTATTGTCATGTTGTTATTAGGTTGAGAACCACTTTTACTTGGTTAATAGAATCAAAATACTTATGTTAGTAACATCTACCAAAACCTACCAAATGATAATAACGTTAACATATGAGGATAAATAGTAAATCGATGTAGTAATATGAATGTACAGTACATCAATGATCGAATCAGATATCTTTTAAATATTATCACTGCTCAAAAACATCAACTAACATTCGATTACTGATGATCAAATCAGCTATCTTTCCAGACGTCAAAAACATCTAACAAATATTTTTTATTCGACCATTGATCTATACTCATAACATTGTATCGGGGGTTTTTTTACCAGTATTTGGGATTTAACAGTTCTAATGGAATTTTCCATTGGGATTTGAAGATTTATAGTTTGACCGGCATGTATATACATAACCAACTTGGTTTGCTTAAATATTAACCAATTTTAAATTACATGTAAATATTACCCAATTTTCAATTACATGTAAATTTCATTAAGTTTTTAAGTTTCAACCTCTATTTTTTTTCAGTATTATAGTATAGCTTATATTAGTATACTAAACTGGTATATTGCTGATATAATACTAAAGAACCAAAATATCGGATAATCTGTACCTAGTTGATTACCATGATGGCTTGACTTATAATTTTGATTGTGATTGTAAATTGAAATGATAAAATCAATACCAAATCGATACAAAAATATATTTTTATCGTTCTAAGGTCTAAAATTCAAAATAATATTAAACCTTAATAACAAGTTTATATTAAATCTTAATAACAAATTTATATTAAAACTTAATAACAAATTTATATTAAATCTTAATTACTTATTCCACTTCACTAAAAAATTTCATTAATGAAATTAACTGAAGCATAAAAATTGAACAGGCATTGATTTATTTGGTATAAAAAGTAAGCCGATTATATCACTTTTTTTAAAAATCAAAAACCTCTACTTGAAAATAAATAAATTTGAAAGTGTTAAATATTAAAGTGCAGCCTTGACTGGTCTATCGAAGAAAGTCTCATATAAAAATTAAAAATATTTGATATATTTTATATTGAGTATAAAAAAAAAGAATACATAAATTATCTATTAATTTTTAATATCTTAATATTTGATTATGCAATTATAAGAACCAAACTATCATCACCTAACATATCAATCTAATACACAAAAAGAATATATTAAATATATAAACGATTACATTATCAAAAAATTTTAAAATAATTGGAGAAATGTGATTCGAAAATACAATTCTTGTTATTGCTAATAATGACTTCAAGTATACCGATACGGAATCAGCAAAATAAATCTTTTTATTACAAATAAAAAAATACTTGCATTATATAATTGTATAATATTATTATAATGCCATCAAACAGCAATATTTCAAATTGTTGATCTAGAAATATATGTATAATAAAAAATAAATAATTTATATGCAATTGATTAAAGAAGTTTTATTAGTTATAGATTATTTCGATTTGTAAAATAACTTTAATACATACCTTCTAATAATTTAATTTATATATACATAATAGATTATTGCAAATTTTCAGTTTATAATTTGATTTTATACTCACTTTCTAATAGTTTAATTATTATAACCGTTTTATTTAATTATATTTAAAGTTTTTAGATAATTCACAAAATTATTTTATAATAATTTAGTTGTATATCATTACGGCACATTTGTAAACTACGCAAATTTTGACTATTGATAATGAGTCAATTTGATTTGACTTCACGCACGTATACAATATCAACATAATTGTGAAATGAGTCCTGATTTAAATTATGATATATTACTACACCTCGAAGCTGATAACATGAAAGGTGATATATC